TCCTATGAGACAAGCAGTATTGAGTTCCTGGATGATTTAAAAAGTCCCTCCTAAAATGACATGATTTTATCTTTACTTACTTGTAGTCTACGGTTTCAACTGTTGCTTCCGATATATTTTTTGCTAAATGTTTAGCAGCTTTTTCTAGACCAAGGAACACAGTACCAAAACCTACAGACAGAGGCAATAAATCAAAATAAAGCAAAAATACATGATTTTGATACATTTATTGCAGGTGGTAATTCTGGCATATTTGATGGTTAATGAAAAAACCATTAATATGCTATCGATATATATATATCCACTACCTGAAACATGTGGCTTTTTTAATACTTACTTAAGACAACAATTACCAAATATTATGTATCTTATTTATTAGTCAGAGCAGTGTTTATTTATTAACAATATGCAGAGGAAGGTTACAACATTTAACAAATGTGGTGAAAAGGCATGAGTGTATATTCATACCTCCAAGTCCCGAGGCTGCAACATGAATGGCGCCATCTACTTCATCACTACTTTCAGCATCACTAGAGCTCTTCCAATTACCTGGTATATATTTCTCCCCCTCCTGTCTGATGACAGGACCAACCTCTTTACCAATCTTCTTAGTGACATCACAGAGTACATCAATCAAAAACCCACTCACCTAAAACATAATGTAGTTATGTGAGACATGATTGCTGGTACTAATGACCTTCAGTTGACCTTTAATTAATTTCTGATTCCCAAATTGATAGCATTTGTGGGTGTATCGTGAATTTTGAATGTTCCAAAAGTGCAGAGCACGGTATATCGCTCGCCCATGTTTCTAATTCAAGGTATACAAAATCCCTTCAAATAAAAGGGCCACCATGTTTCAACTAACTCGCATCAGTCTCTGAAAATTTGCACACTGTTCTGCCTAAGAAAAATGAACACGCACATTAGCTTTGGTTGTATCGTAGTATTTTCATATTTTGGGGTTATTTTGGGACATATTTACTAAGCAAACACACACATCCATTTTTTTAGCTCCGCTGTCAACTTTGTCGAGCGGAGCTTATCATATGAGTGATTGTCCGTCGTCGTCGTCGTCGTCCGTGTCAATGTTTTACTTTTTCGACTTCTTCTTGAAAACTACAAGCCTGAATGCTTTGATACTTGGTGTATATGTAACTTGGGTAGACCTCTCTCAGATTTGTTCATTTCATGATGATATCTTCAATATTTTTGTCATTTTTGGTAAAAAGTGATATTTTCAACTTCTTGTTAAAAACCGCAAGTCCAATTGCTTTGATATTACATATATAGGTACTACATGTGGACCTCTCTCAGATTTGTTCATTTTGTAATGATATCTTCAATTCTCTAATTTTGGTGAATTTTTTTTTAAATTTTTGGTAAAAAGTGATATTTTTGACTTCTTGTTGAAAACCGCAGTCTGATTGCTTTTATATTACATATATAGGTACTACATGTGGACCCCTTTCAGATTTGTTAATTTCGTGGTGATATCTTCAATTACCTAATTTTGATGATTATTTTTGGTGAAAAGTAATATCTTTGAATTCTTGTTGAAAACAGTAAGTCCTGTTGCTTTGATACTATACATATTGTTTATTTTCTAATGATATCTTCTGTTCTTTAATTGCAATGTGCATTGTTAACAGCGAAGCTATCTCAGCCGACAGGCTGCTTGTTTTCAGTTCATTTCACTTTGCTACTGAGACAAGCATTCAAAATAACATTGCTGCATTACCTTCACAGCAACACCTGTCGCTTGTTTGGCATACTCCAATCCTTTCTGATATTTTGGATCAACTTCAGTCGGTTGTTCATTTGGTTGTAACTGCTCTCTTAATTTGGCAGCCTCCTTATGCACGAATTTACCAGCGGCCTCTGCCCCTATACCCAATCCCCGTGAAAACCATCCAGCACCTACAAGTGAAACAAAACATTCAATGGAGGTAATATTGTATTTGTTAGAAAACAAAGCTTGTCAGATGGGATTTACAGTGTGATTATACAGAGAGGGAGGGGCTACCTTTGATGATGTCATGTGATAAAGATTCACTCCAATGTGGCAGATTGTCTTTTTCCAGGCTTTCTGGCTCCTCCTCTTTCTCATCATCAGCAACTGTTCGTCTAGCGTGAGAGCTCGTAGACACATCATATGCAGGTGGTCTCTCATGGTCTGATGTGTGTGGTGTGGGCCGCATTGTAACTGTCTGTGACGGTTTTGATATTCGTTCTGGTCTACTGCTTGTAGCACTCAGTGGTCGTGTCTGTGGTGGGGGCGGTCTCATTGGAGTTGGTGTCTTGCCACGCCTCTGTACTCCAACGGCAGCGAATGAAACCAACATCTTTTCAAACGTCTCTATCTGAGTGCTATCAAAGTGCGAGAGACAAATATTATATTTTTTTAAACGTAATAACATATGCACAAATAATAATAGGATTAATGTATGACAACTTTATTGTTTTTAGAAATTAATAATCCCTTCCCTCCAAAAAAGACACTTCAAATTGAAATGTGAATTTAGAATATCATTTTCACTCTCAATCACATTTATTATTATTATTTTGATATAATCATTTACCGTTTCACATCCGTTGATAAAATCAACCCCACATACGATCCCTGTTCAGGTGCATTAACATCTGGGAAAAGATAAGATCCATCTAAACTCTTCAGCGCAGGGGATTGCCCGGGAACCAGAGGGTAGACCCAATCACAAACCTGTATAAAGGCAGGTGGCTGATCTACCTGATGGGCGGCACCCTCTGCATTCTCCTGATTCAGAAACTTAAATATTCTGAGTGGACCTGGGGCACTGGGAGCACTGACGTGTCCTTGGGAGTTGAGAAAATAGATCTGCACTCCTTCCTGGATGCAGATTATCTCTTCCGCACTGGCTTCAGACTCGGCATATGATGGCGGCTCCCCGTCATACATGAGGCCAGCATTAATTTCCATCTGCGATGAGAGACCATTCTCCTTTGGTGGTGCTGTGGGAGCAACAACCCTTTGCCGTTTAAGATTTTCTAAGCGTGATTTCATTTGCACAGTCATTCGTTTCATCTTTGTCTGCATGCTTCTCGCGTTGTTCCATTCTCTTCCCACACACCCTGGTTCATCACATGGTATGTCCAGTCCCTTTGCCAAGCTTTTTAGTGCCTTATCATAGAAAGTTATCGCTAGATCGGTAAGCGCTTGTTCATCATAACCCAATGCTTGACTGACCAATGCAAAAGCTTCTTCATAATGTTGTTTCACTAACTCGGCTTCCCCAGCAGATCTTATTGGAGTTCTTTGTTCATTGTGCCGAGGTCTTGTTGCTTGGGACTTCATAACCACGGGTCAAAAAGGATCCTATAATCACAAATCACAAAACAATGAAATTAAGAAGACCCACAAGGTGATTCTAGCTACTTCCTGTGCATTTCAAGCAATGTGCAAATAGCCATGTACATCAAATATGGCACACAAAAAAATCAATTTTTAATAAGTTTAATAATAGAATAGAATGGAATAGAATAGAATAGAATAGAATGGAATGGAATGGAATGGAATGGAATGGAATGGAATGGAATGGAAATGAGCATCAAATATGACAAAAAGTTATCAGTGAATCAATTTTTAATAACGTGGAATTTTTAATAAGTTTAGTAATAGAATAGAATAGAATAGAATAGAATAGAATAAAATAGAATAGAATAGAATAGAATAGAATAGAATAGAATAGAATGGAATGGAATAGAATAGAATAGATGAGATGAGATGAGATGTACATCAAATATGACAAAAAGTTATCAGTGAATCAATTTTTAATAACGTGCAATTTTTAATAATTTTAGTAATAGAATAGAATAGAATAGAATAGAATAGAATAGAATAGAATAGAATAGATGTACATCAAATATGACAAAAAGTTATCAGAGAATCAATTTTTAATAACGTGGAATTTTTAATAAGTTTAGTAATAGAATAGAATAGAATTGAATAGAATAGAATAGAATAGAATAGAATAGAATGGAATGGAATGGAATGGAATGGAATAGAATAGAATAGAATAGATGAGATGAGATGAGATGTACATCAAATATGGCAAAAAGTTATCAGTGAATCAATTTTTAATAACGTGCAATTTTTAATAAGTTTAGTAATAGAATAGAATAGAATAGAATAGAATAGAATAGAATAGAATAGAATAGAATAAAATAAATGAGATGTACATCAAATATGACAAAAAGTTATCAGAGAATCAATTTTTAATAATGTGCAATTTTTAATAAGTTTAGTAATAGAATAGAATAGAATAGAATAGAATAGAATAGAATAGAATAGAATAGATGAGATGAGATGAGATGAGATGTACATCAAATATGAAAAAAATTATCAGTGAATCAATTTTTAATAAGTTTAGTAATAGAATAGAATAGAATAGAATAGATAGTATAGAACAGAACAGAATAGAATAGAATAGAATAGAATAGATGTACATCAAATATGGCACAAAAGATTATTCATTGCCAAATCATCAATAAATCTGAAAATATCATGACATTTTTATAAAAAGTTAAGTAATATACTAGTAGTAGAATAGCAGGTCTGCCGTGTGGGCCATGAGCCCAGCCCCGTGATTGATAGCTTGCTGTATTTATTTATATTATAAATCCACGTGAAAAAACAATAGAACTCATTGTTTTCCTGTCAAGTGCGTGAAATTAAAACCCACAATCAAAACATCAAAATAGTGAAATAGAATGTAAGTGAAAATAAATGGTTTTACAGTATCTGTCTATCCGTCTGGTATATAATTCTATTACAGCAGAATATACGAAGAATAATACTATCAATATCATTTCTTCCTTTATAAACAAACTACAACAACCTATCAATATTACGAGTTTCATATGAGTGGTAAATTATCCTATTCCTAGTATGAGGCGCACCTTTCCGCTGTGTCGGTAACTCAATAATTTCCAGATCTTCCTTGCTGCGTTCGACGATTACTAGAAAGGTTGAACTTGTCTTTGTGGAATGACGTATTAGTGAAATGTCAGATGACAACACATATTGATGACGATATCGTCGCATGTTCATATACTTACAATTACGTGACATTGTAGGTGTAGTGACGGGAATCCCATACGAAGTGACGTCATTTCAGATCTGAGCATGCGTAAAACATACAGTCAATATGGCGGCCAGTTGAAATAAACTTCGTTCATAAAAATTGACCACAACATATTACAATTAGGAGAAAATTGTTTGACTCAATTAAAAATAAAACTGTTAATTTCCATTTGATGGATGAAGATTCATAATTTAAATACGTTATGGGCAACACTTCCACATTAATACAGCTTGGCATTTTTATAAAAGAAAGTATGGTAATGTGACACAGTAATTATCAATTCCCTGATTTTTCCAAGCCCTTTTGTTAAACTGTTTTAGTATTTTTTTTATGTATTTAGGAATTGTTATCTAGTTATAGATTGGACTATGTTCTAAAATGAATAAAAGTTAAAATCAATCACACAATGGGAGTCTTTGCGGTTAGTCTGTGTGTATGTGTGTCTGCCCTTTCCACTGATATTTCAAGAACCGTATGTTGGTTTTTAAACTTGGTACGTAGATGCTCTGGGCTAATGCGCAGATTTAATTCAGTTTTGGTTGAAATGCATGCATATTAATTACCTTATTTGCATGATAATTAGCTCATTTTTAGCTGTTCCATGGCTGTTCCACTGATATCTAAATAGCCATTCATTGGAGTTTGATGAAACTTGGTACATAGATGCTCTGGACTAATGCACAGATTTGATTAGTTTTGGGTAAAAATCCATGCATAAAATTGACTGAATTTGCATAATGATTAGTCAATTTTCGGCTTTTCCACCGATATCTCATGCACTAATCACATTTCATAGAAAAAATAATACATAGGACAATGCACAGATATGTGAAATATTAATTACCTAATTTGCATAATTAATTAATTTTCAGCTTTTGATACTAAGTACTATTACTTTTCAATGAAACTTGATACATAGATGCTCTAGAACAATGCAGAGACCTGATTAATTTTGGGTAAAAATGTGTGCATATTAATCAACTAATTTGCAATATTAGTTAATTTTCGGCATTAATTATCTCATTTCAAAGAATCTTGGTACATAGATGTTTTAGGACAATGCAGACCCGATTAGTTTGGGGTTAAAATCAGTGCATATTAATGACCTAATTTGCATAATTAGCCAATTTTCAGCTTTTACATTGATATGACATGTACTAATTAATTACTCCATTGCCTAAAGCCAATTACGTAGTCAATGGTTTTCAACTCTTAAATTAATTAGGTTTGTGGATTGCCCGAGGGCAAGTAGCAAGTAATGGTGAAATCTGATTAGTGGCATTTTAGATCTGCACAACAGTATACACGATATTCAATTCAAAACTAATCAGGTATGTGCTTGAACCCAGGCACCTATCTGTTATTGAAATACAATAATTGGTTTGTGAGTTATCGATGGAAAAGCTGAAAATTAACTAATTATTATGAAATTTTGTCTGCATTGGGGTGCTCCATACATGTGAGATTGACATAATCTGTAGTTATAATTCATCATATGTTTGTATGAGATAATGCAATACAGCTTTACCATTATAGGAAACATGCACAAATTTGCACATTAAATTTTCATTGCAACCCAATGAGTCGTTAGAATAGAATATCAGTGATAGATACAAGGCAAATATCTCAATAAAGCAATCATTTTGTTTAAATATTTACACTTTCTTTATTGTTTATACTGGCGATATAAACAGCACGATTTTTATCGTACAATGTGTATTTACATGGTAGTGTTGTGGTCTTGTCCAGATTACTAATCATAACCTGCAACATAGTTTGTCTTGTTCAGCTGTCCGAGTCGTAACTTGAAACTCAGTCTTGTCACGGTCTTGTTCAGCTGTCCGAGTCATAACTTGAAACTTAGTCTTGTCATGGTCTTGTCCAGCTGACTGAATCACAATATGGTCTTGTCGAGCCGACTGGAGCATAACTTGCAGCATTGTCTTGTCTAGCTGACCAAATCATAATTTATTATTAATAAAAACTAGGAACAATAAATTAGGAAATATAATTTTAGCTGATCAAAATGTTATGAGATATTTCAAGATTGAACAAGTTCTTTACAATCAAAGAAATCCTTTGGTTTTGATGCTCTGTTTTATTTGTCTTTAAGAGGTCCCTTATCACTGGTAGGTCCTCATAGCCTCAGAACAAACTTGTCCCAATAAATAGAATATGTCATAGCGCCCTCTATTAATCATCTTTCAAATCAGAGAATTTCACACAGCCATTTTTACTGATAGATTTAGTGTCACAATCATTATCATAGTCATCATCAACTGCAGTTTGTTTCTCGTTTTTGGTGACTTTGTATTTTTCTCTTTCCGCCACATAGTCTTTCGCAACAGCAGAGCCTGCATCTTTTGCTGTTCTCTTGGCAATGGCCTTTATCCCCAACTGCTTGAAGTTAAAAGCAGTAACTCCAACATTCAATCCAGCGTTAAGTCCAGTGTCTGTAGCATGAGCAGCTTCCCATCCATACCTACGAATAATCAAAATAAATAGGAAAAATAGCGTCAGCACGCAATGTGTTAATATTATTTACAAGTTCTGGGTCACTGAAATCACAAATCGGCAAATAAAACCACCACTAGTTTAATCAGCAGAAAACAATACTATTGATTTTGATTACAATACTCTCCTCTGATATGTATTTTAAAGTCGTAACATCAGTGCCGTGGGTGATTATCATCTCTGTTGTTGTAGGAGAGGGCTGCTGTAAGTCTAAAATCATAGTGTTATCGTATTTATCATGTTGATGTTATTAGGGGCGCAGCGCCCTCATGCCATGGCCATGTGCCCCCTTACCCTGGGGAGCAGATCCTCTGGCAACCATAAAATTCTGATTGACCAGAGATCACATGTGGCCATAGTGTGTGACCTGTCTGATAGTAATTTTGGCCCCAAAGAAGCCATAGAATGCTCCATTTTAACTTATTATCAAATACTCCACACCCTGGTAGGGAGAACCCTATCTCCCCCACTTGGTGACGCCGCTGAATTGCAGTGCTAAGTGTTAATTATTTCGTGCTGTGACAGATTCTGTCTGTTTTCACAAAAGCAACGAATATTAGGGAAATCACAAAAGAAAAGTGATCTTCACTAAATGCTAATTTACAAGCATCTGAGGTGATTATCTGAAATACTCAATATATAGGACAATTTGATCTTCAATGAAAACACAGACATCACCAGTAAACATAATCCAGCCTCACTTTGGTGAACACAATCATCTTGTACAATTTCAACACGGCCAGTACAAAGCTCCTATTGGCAGCAGAAAGAATGCACCTAAATCAATTGACTTATATGAAAAGTGCTTACCGGTACATCAAAGCTGACAGATCACAGTAGTACAGGCCAGTACACCGCTCAGAGATACTCAAAATAATCTTACGAGACAAGCAGTATTGAGTTCCTGGATGATTACAAAAGTCCCTCCTAAAATGACATGATTTTATCTTAACTTACTTGTAGTCTACGGTTTCAACTGTTGCTTCTGATATATTTTTTGCTAAATGTTTAGCAGCTTTTTCTAGACCAAGGAACACAGTACCAAAACCTACAGACAGAGGCAATAAATCAAAATAAAGCAAAAATACATGATTTTCATACATTTATCTGTCATTTTTGATGGTTAATGAAAACACCAAAACTATGCAGTGGAAGGTTACAACATTTAACAAATGTGGTGAAAAGGTACGAGTGTATATTCTTACCTCTGAATCCAGAGGCTGCAACATGAATGGCGCCATCTACTCTATCACTACTTTCAGCATCACTGGAGCTCTTCCAATTATCAGGTATATATTTCTCCCCCTCTCGTCTGATGACAGGGCCGACCTCGTTACCAATCTTCTTTGTGACATCACAGAGTACATCAACCAAAAACCCACTCACCTAAAACATAATGTAGTTGAATGGACTTTTATATTACCGTAGTTATAACAGTCATGATGAATTGGTACAAATGGAATTAAAATGGCTTTTAGTTATGTAAGCTATGATTGCTGGTACTGATGACCATGAGTTGACCTTTGACTATGCCATGACCTTGAATTTCAGACCTTCATTTATCTCAGTCATTATGAATTTGATGCACGTGACCTTGAATTGACTTTCATGACTTTGTTATCCATGGCAGGTGTTCTACCTAGTTTGCTACTGAGACAAGCATTCAAAATAACATTGGTGCATTACCTTCACAGCAACACCTGTCGCTTGTTTGGCATACTCCAATCCTTTCTGATATTTTGGATCAACTTCAGTCGGTTGTTCATTTGGTTGTAACTGCTCTCTTAACTTGGCAGCCCCCTTATGCACCCATTTACCTGTCACCTCTGCCCCTTTACCAAGTCCCCATGAAATCCATTCAGCACCTACAAGTGAAACAAAACATTCAATGGAGGTAATATTGTATATGTTAGAAAACAAAGCTTGTCAGGTGCGATTCACAGTGTGATTATACAGAGAGGGAGGGGCTACCTTTGATAACGCCATGTGATATAGTTTTACTCCACTGTGGCAGATCATCTTCTTCCAGGCTTTCTGACTCCTCCTCTTCCTCATCATCAGCAACTGTTCGTCTAGCCTGAGAACTTGTACTAGATGCAACATATGCAGGTGGTCTCTCACGGTCTGATGTTTGTGGTGTGGGCTGCATCGTAACCGTCTGTGGTGGTCTTGATGTTCTTTCTGGTCTACTGCTTGTAGCACTCAGTGGTCGTGTCTGTGGTGGGGGCGGTCTCATTGGAGTTGGTGTCTTGCCCCGCCTCTGTACTCCAACGGCAGCCAATGAAACCAACATCTTTTCAAACGTCTCTATCTGATTGCTATCAAAGTGCGAGGGACAAATATTAATAATTAAACAATGCAATAGTTTTTTAAAATTAATAACACATGCATAAATAATACTGTAAAATGACTAATTTTCACTGGGTTTAAATTTCACTGATTTACCATTTCAGGCATATTCAGTGGGGTTTAAATTCACGGTTTCGTCATTTAGATAATGTGTTCTATGCTAAATTTTACATATTCACTGGGTTTTAATTTAGCGCATTTTCCAGTCAGCGAAATAAGCTAAATTAAAACCCAGTGAATAATTACCCCCTTTACAGTAATAGAACTCATAATTAATGTATGATAACCTCATAGTTTTTAGAAATTAATTAAAATCACCCCCCCCCCAAAAAAAAAAACACACTTCAAATTGAAATGTGAATTTAGAATATCATTTTCACTCTCAATCACATTTAAAGCATATTATTATTATTTGTATTATTATTATATTAATAAACATTTACCGTTTCACATCCGTTGATAAAATCAACCCAACATACGATCCCTGTTCAGGTGCATTAACATCTGGGAAAAGATAAGATCCATCTAAACTCTTCAGTGCTGGGGATTGGCCGGGAACCAGAGGGTAGACCCAATCACAAACCTGTATAAAGGCAGGTGGCTGATCTACCTGATATGCAGCACCCTCTGCAGTCTCCTGATTTAGAAACTTAAATATTCTGAGTGGACCTGGAGCACTGGGAGCACTGACATGCCCTTTGGAGTTGAGAAAATAGATCTGCACTCCTTCCTGAATGCAGATTATCTCTTCGGCATTGGCTTCAGACTCTGCATATGATGGCGGCTCTCCGTCATACATGAGGGCATCCCCTAGAGCAGCATCAATTTCCATCTGTGATGAGTGTCCATTCTCACTTGGTGGTGCTGTGGGGGCAACTGCCCTTTGCCGTTCAAGATTTTCTAAGCGAGATTTCATTTGCGCAGTCATTCGTTTCATCTTTGTCTGCATGCTTCT